GAAAGTTTCACTTTCATTTTGTACTGCTTGTCTGCTTGCTCCTTCCTCCTCACATTTAGTTTCACTTTCTTCTTGTGCAGATCTATTCCACTCCAAACAATCAGAAAAATATTGTTTCTATTCTATTCACTGAACTTCTTGAAACTTAGCACTGAAGGGGTTGATTCTGTATTCATAGGTTTGTAGAACAATAGGATTAAGATCTTTTTCTCAACTCTGTTCATGTTATAACATTTTTGCTGTGAAGAAGAGGCATGTGATCTTTGCTGAGTCAAATTCAGTTTTGAGAACTGCAAAAGTAAACCAAGCATCTGTGATAATATCTTGTAGGCAGAGAAACTGCCCAATAAAAACCTCTGGAAGAGCATGACATTGTGAATGGATTAATGGAATTTATTTACCCAAAAAATTAAACATAATCAGCCTTATTCTACATAATTAAAAAAAATAATCTTTATTTCATGATGGAATAACCTTTGGATGGTAATATATTTTCCTCAAAAAGCATTTTATTTAAAAAAATCTGATTTAAATAAAAAAAATCTGTTTTTATTTTTTATATGTATATGTGTGTGTGTGTGTACACACACACACACAGAGTATGTATGTATACATATATATACATATATATGTATGTCTGTATATATATATAAAAAGAGAGGGAGAGAGGGAGGGAGATGTTTTAAGGTCTAATCAGTTAATAGACTATAGCTGACAAACAGACACATAAAACAATATTTCTCTTTCTATTCCCAGCTTTTTGATACAGTTCTAATATTAGAAAGCTCAAGATTCAGAAGGATCTTGATAGACTTGAACACTGGGCCCTATTTAACAAAATGGACAACCATTCGTTTGAAATGGTGTAGGGTTTCTTATCTGAGCAGGGGTTTGGAATAGAAGACCTTCAGATTCCCTTCCAACTCTTCATTCTGTTCATTCATTCTGTTTTTCTAAAGATTACATTGGGACTTTAGTGGTATAAATATTCCAATAAAGCTTCTTCTGGTAAAATCTCTGACCTTTTGCTCTTTCCCATATTATGATTATATTTTACATGTGGTTACCTGCCAAACCACCCTTTTGCCTTTTTCTTTAAAAAAAAAATGCTGCCAATTTTTACTGAAAGTTCATGGACTCTTCCTTTGCTGTTTATGTTTAGAAAGTTATTGCTACTTCCCACCACAGCAGGGAAGGGTTGTGGAATAGCCTGTTACTTCATTTTCCAGTATAGTCCTCAGTTTAATTTATGACATGATTGAATGGATTGTGAGGAGACAATTTCTTAGCTAAAACATGTATTAATTTATGTTAGAGGAAGAGATGAATGGAGCTGATCAATTGCAATTAATAATCAATTTATTGCAGTTGGACGAGTTTGAACTACATTTCCAGGAGCACAATTGTAATTCCCTGCCTTGGTATGTATAAACAGTTACACTTAACTGAATAATTAAGTATATATGATACACCGAATTAAAAGCAATTAACTGAATGAAAACATTCAAGAAAGGAGAAATTTATTTTATTTGAATTTGGAATGGTGTATGATATGGTCAGTGGTGGGATTCAAGTAATTTAACAACCGGTTCTCTGCCCTTATGATTTCTTCCAACAACCAGCTTGCCAAACTGCTCAGAAAGTTAACAATTGGTTCTCCTGAAGTCGTGCAAACTGGCTAATCCCACCACTGGATATGGTCCCATCTACTTTTTAGAAGTCAGCCCCCTAGAATAGTAGTCCAAACTTTTGTGTACAAAAAGGTCAAAATGTTCTCTTGGGTAACATTAAGTAACATACAGAAAACAGTGTTACACAAGCCCCATCCCACCCCCCAAAAAAGGGCTTAGAACTTACTAAAATCATTCAAACTTAATTTACTATCTTTTCTTTAAGGACAGAATAGAAACTTATTTAATATTTTGTATTTCTTAGAACTTAATTTCCTCTCCCTCCCACCTTTCAGCATTAGGCTTTCCACCTGAATTTTGGAAATGCATAAAAATTGTGCTTCCGCAAAAACATAATTAATTTTTCCCCCTCTCCAGCATATTAAGTAAGGTAGTCAGTACTGCCTAATGAAATTCATAATCAAATCACAGATAGAAATAACTTGGCAAACTTCAAGCTTCTATTACAAGATCTTTTTCATCAACTTTTAACCTTTTCAGGGATTTGGGGATATATTCTTTCTCTATTTACATTGTTTTCTGCAGATACTACTGCAGCAGTTGCCCAAAACTTCATGCATCAATTGGATCATATCCAAACAAGCATCCAACTGTTGATGCTATTTATTATCACAGTATTGCATGTACATCGGGGTAAATCATTCTTAATTGTTTTTAGACAGTGGAGTATCAACTAGTGAGTTTTATTACATTTCCCCTCATTTTATTCCCACTTGAAAATACAAATATGTCTGGTTTTGGAAAGATGTGAATGGGCTGGACTTGAAAGCCGTACTCTGTATTCTATAATGTTATTATGACAGTTCATTTTGTTGGATAAATGAGATTTAATGTCCTATAAGGACTTTCCTACTCCAGCAATGGCATTTCAAGCAATTGTTTCACTTAATAGCCTTAAAATAAAATTCCAAGTCTTGTTTCAATCATTTTTCTTAATAGCATGAAGCGTAGCAGTCTTCTCCTATTTCTGGGATAGGAAAAGAGTGAGAAACATTAAGCAAAATAAATTACAAGCATAAGTCAAGTATAAAATCTAGTTTTATACAACACAATTTGCTGTACTTCTCCATGTTTTCTATCTTTGCACACTATCATTGCTTTCACAGTCTCTCTTCTGTGATTCCTACATTGCCTTTTGTTTGCTGAAGTCCTTACCACTTTGTTTTTGAGAATCTTAAAATTACTTTTGTATACTTCTTTGCACTGGTTCAAACCTGTTTTAAATCTCAATCAGCTTTCATTCATTTTTAACTTACATTAGTTAATGTAGTTTCATGATCCATACTTCTGAAGTAATTTATTCCCACTATATTCAACTTACTTCTGTGCTTTTACTGATAAACCCACACCATAAAGTGCAGATTCTTCTACATGGCTGTTTTTTAGTCTTTTGGCAACACTTACTCCTTGTAACAGATCACATACAGTCCATTATCTTAACATTTCATTTGCTACCCCTTAAAATATCCAGTTCCATCTTCTAAGTGTCCACTGTAGTATGCAATACCCAAGATTTGCCTGAGACTGAGAAGGAATAACTCTTCTTGACAGCAATTGTTGGGATATCTGACATTTTTACTGTAGAGATTTCTTCGGGAGACATCATCCACTCCAGCAGTGCTGAGAGCATATTTACTGGAGATCAAATTGGCTGCAAGAGCACTATGGCTTCTATTGCCACAGGATAAAACTTGATTATTTGTAGGCTCATTGCTTATTAGAGTAATTCTTGGGGCTCAAAAAGAATGGGTAGTACAGGCTGGGAATGTAGCATGATAAACATTATGAAGTGAAACTTAGTAGCCAGGATTGACCAGTACCAGTTATAGGCAAATCGAATTCTTCCTATTTGTACATTTATGTACCTGAAATCCTGAACTCTGACGTGACTAGGGAGAGGTATGGGGATGATGAATTTGTACGTGGTTTCTAGTCACTAGTGGGTTCCACTTATCTTCGCTACCAGTTTGGAACTGTGAGTGCGTGTGAACGCATGCTTGCTTTGCTCATGCGCAGCGCTTCTGTGCATGCACAGAACCCTCTGCGCATGTACAGAGTGTCCGTGATGATGTCTGGGCAGGTGGGCAGAACCTCCTGCCGCCACCACTACTGGTTCACCTGAACCAGGGCGAACCGGTAGAACCCCACCACTGTTTCTAGTACATTTTTTAAAAAAGATAGTCTGCTGTGAAGTATCTAACCTGGAGAATAGGGTTCCTCCTGGATTTTTATCACTCTCTTAAGGTGTGTATTTCCAGTTTATGTCTGGGAAGATTCCCTATCCCAAAGGGTTCCCAGATGATCCTCTTTTGGAATCAACAGTGCCTTCTTTATTTTGAAAGGGTGCTTAGCATTCATTGAGGGTGCTTAGCATTCATTGAGTAAAAGAGTCAGTGATTTGTACTTGAGTTGTTAAGTGCATAAGGAGAACTTGTCTTACGTTGCTGGTCAGTTGCATGTAGTCTGATAGAATGACTGTCTGGTTTCCTACATTCTTGGTGTTGGTTGTTATGTTTCCTTCTCTTACATAGTGGAGAGCTTAATTTATGAATTCGATGTGATGATAACATTGTTTTGCCTCAGTTATTAATTGTAACTGACCAACTCCAGTCAATTAATGTTTTTGATGAATTATCCCCAGCTGGAGAAATTAGTTGTAAAATAAAAGAAAAACTGATAATGTACTTATCAAAACTGATAAGGTATAAAATAAGCAACTTGGAGGAGCTCCTTGTAACAATTGCTGTCTCACCACTGTTTTGGCCCCTCCTCCTTCTCCAAGCAAAATGTATTTTAAGACTGAAGATGCATTTGATAATGAAGCATATGTTAATATATCAAGTTTCATAACTTACATCTGTCATCTTTTATATTGAAATGTATAAAAGTATTTTTCAAAGCCAATTATAAATCTTATTTACATGCAATGCTTTCTATTATTTTTGCCAAATTTTCTGTGTGCATTTTTGGGCAGTCATAAACACGGTGTAAATATTTTGTAAATGAATTGTAAGTTTTTAAAAAATTTCTTCTGAAACTAGTTTTACAAAGTATCTTTCAGTTGTTAAGAATGCAATCTGAACAAAGGCATACAGAGATTTTACCTAAGCATTTAACTGCTCTTGACATACAACCATGAAGACCCTATGGCTCCTTTGATAGTAGAATTAAAATCTTGTGTTAACTTTTACCTATTGAATCTATTGAAAATTCATTGCCTACTAAATTAGCTGACACATTGGTTAATGTCTGGTAGATTATTCTGGATATTTACTTCTGAATATTCACATTATCTCTGTTCTCTTTTAGGCCGTGTAACCACATTCTGAAGTGTTGTTACAAAGATGGAGCTCTCTAAAATTTCAGTCATCTTTCAGTGTACATTTTAAAGATTTTTTTTTGAAACCTAAAAATATTATTCTTTTTCATATAACTGACTGTGTTAACTTTTGATGAAATCCAAGGACAATGAACTCATTTTCATTTTGGGATCTTTTCCTTCGGTACAGTGAAATCCCATTCTCACTGTGTTCTTTGGGGAAAACCTGAACTAATCTACGGTGTTTTTTTTTCTCAATCTTACCAACTTGCTCTCAACATTGATCCAAATTATTCATGTTAAAGTTCCGTGTAGTATGCCTTGATTTTCAAGATCTGTGAAGTATTTTCTTTAGCCTCAGTTTAAAAAACACAACAACTATCGCACAAGGATTTTTTAATTGTTTGTGGAAGATTACTTTTATGTACTTGATTTTCCTCCCTGACTACTGTAAATGGATCCTCACTTCAATGCTTTAATGGTACTAATATGAGGCATTGCATTCATTGTTGCATAGCATTGTTATCAAATGACTTTCATAAACAGTGTTTCAAGTGCCGAGGCCCAAGTCATAATATCCAAAAGTGTCCTCTATGCAGAGGAGAAAATCAAGTTTTGCTTGTGGATAGCAAGCAGATGAACTTACTTGCAGTTTTGGAAGTGAGGACTGATCATAATGATAGCTGGGCTGGACTGTTCTGTTTGAAGAAGGGGAAGATATGCAGCTTATTCTTTGGATTATTAATAATGATGTTGGTGACCGCATCTTATATTCTGACCGGAACTAAAGATGGTCTTTTGCTTATGCAACCAACACTCCATTATGGAGTTTTTACCAGCAATTCAAACTCACTGGACAATGGCAATTTCTGTGATAAGAAAGAACATTACCAAAAATCTAAAATGAATATTTCATATGCAAAGGATTATTCCAGCATTAAAGTAATTATTGACACTATAGCTTCACACATTGAGTTCATACCAAGGTATCCTCCTGACTTGGAAGATCTGAAGAAACAAGAGACACATGTAGGTATAAAAGTGGCCTATTTTGTATTATAAAAATATTTATTGTATTGGAATAGCAATAGCACTTAGATTTATATACCGATCCATACTGCTTTATAAGTCTGCTCTAAGTGGTTTACAGCATATTTACTGCAACAATCTGGCTCCTTTTACCCACCTTGGAAGGATGGAAGGCTGAGTCAGTCTTGAGCCAGTCAGGATCAAACTGCTGGCAGTTGGCAGATTTAGCCTGTAATATTGCATTCTAACCATTGTGGCAGCATGGCTCTTAATAAGGAATATTTTCTTATTGGAAGAGGTTATGCTATTTTAAATAAATAGGCTACTATTTATCCGAGTAGAGATCATATAGTTATATTTAATTTTATCATATCAGATATTTAAATATATCTTTCCATACGCTTTCTTATAATTTATGTTATGCTCATTATGTTCCACACGTTTTCTTATAACTTAATACATAAAGGAGATAAAGAAATTGTTGCTACTTATATTGACAGATAGCCAAATAAGCAAATGCAGAGTTCCTTATTTAGTGAAGTGTCAAGAGGAAGTTTTCGATGCTAGAAAATGTGGATAGTGCTTGGATGCACCGAGAATGTAGAAGCTGGTTAGAGTTGCAGTTGTGAAGCTCAACCTTCACCAAGGAAAGGATAAAAGGATAAAAATGATAAAAGCTAGGTTTTTTATATGGAAGAGTGTATAGTTGCCTGATTCATGCTAGATAATTATATTATCTAGAATTATATCCTTCCTGATTTTAAAAGATTGTTGAAATATATTCTTCTTTATAGCCATCACTCTGTGTCCCCTTGGTTCTGTGTTTCTGTAGTATAGGACAGCTAAACATCAAACTAGTAGAATATGCAAACAACTAAACTATCATAACAAGAAATATAGCCATAATACTTCAACAAAGCTTGTATTGTTTCTTTTGCAGATGTTCTCAGTAATTCCCAACAAATTTCTCCCAAACAGCAAGAATCCTTGCTGGTATGAAGAATACAAAGGAAACAATACCAGAAACCCTTATGCCACAAACTCCTATGCCTTGTATTCCAAACGTTTTCGTACAACATTTGACTATCTTCGAAAAGTATTTTGGAATCATTTATATCATTATGATGACAAATATTACCGGCTGCGCTGTCTTCCTCATTTTTATATCATTGGCCAACCGAAATGTGGAACAACAGATCTTTATGATAGGCTCAGACTACACCCTGAAGTGAAATTTTCAGCAATTAAGGAGCCTCACTGGTGGACCAGAAAACGTTTTGGTGAGTAAACATGGTGATCAGCAGTTTGGAGTTGTATTAACTTAAATGAATGTTTAACAATCCTAGGAAGAAGTATTCAGTGATTTTGAAGTTTCACAAGTAGTAAATGATGCAGGAAAAATAATCAAGAGATCTAACTTCATGTTTCAAGTTGCCTTAAAATCCTACCAGCTGGCATGATACACTTATCTTCATGGATAAGTATATCACTTCATGATACACTTATCTTCATGGATAAGTGTATGGCACCAACAATATCATTACCTTGAATTATTTGCCAAGTGCAAAATGTGTTGATGTAAGCAAGAGTCTTTGTCTTAGTTTAATAAAGCTTAGAATGATTTGTACAAGTTGTGTATAGAATAGCTTAATAAAACATCTTAAAATATCATTTAAAACAGAACTTTTGCTGTAAATTGCCATAATCTAGATAAAAAAAGGTTAAAATGGATAGCACTTAATGTTTATTTGATGGTCATTATTTCAGACATTTATTTCAGTTTAGGATAAGGTTGATAACAAAATGTGGTTCTTGTTATTCTTTCAGACAATACCCTTTCACTAACTTCTGTTGAATATGCATTGTACTCCAGAGTTTTAATTATGCTTACACCTTACAGTCCTCTAAGGAGCTCACATTCAGATACTCTTTTATTTTATACATGCAACAATGCTGTGGGGTAGATTAAGCTGCAGGATAATGACTGCTCCAAGTTCACCAAATAAGCTTCATGGCCGAGTAGGGATTTTATCTCAGGTCTTGTCAATTGTCTTCCAGCACAAGTGAATAAACAGCTCTTTTAGCTCTCTAGCTATTGAAATAAATGATTTGGCAGTAGCACTGAACAATGAGATGGCCAAGTTTGCTAATGGCCCAATTATTCAAAGTAGTAAAAACATAAATGGGATTAATGCTTCTCTGAGGGAATCTTTCCAAACAGAAGAAAATAGACAATGCAGTGGCAAATGTGGTTCAGTGCAAGTAAGACAGAGTGCATTCTAAGTTTGCATAACCACTACTCTAGCTTTCGAAATATTGTGTGCAGTTGCAATCTGCATATTTCTAAAAAGGGATATCACAAAAAAAGGGCAATCAAAATAATTATAGTGTTGAGGTGATCCCTAAAGAAAAGCATTTTAAAAGGAAGAGTGAGAGGGACATGATAGGAGTAGATAAAAATGTTGCATGGTATGGAGAAAGTAAATAACTTCTTCTAATGGTATTAGATTTATGAAGGTAAGAAGCTGGAATTTAGGAAATAACAATATTTTTGCCTAAAGGAAGTGATGTAGTTATCATCATTTCCTCTGACTGGGGAAAAGGATGTTTGAGAAGCCAATTGGTAAAGATAAAGGTTCCCCACGCACATATGTGCTAGTCATTCCCGACTTTAGGGAGCGGTGGTCATCTCTATTCCAAAGCCAAAGAGCCAGCGCTGTCCGAAGACGTCTCTATGGTCATGTGGCCGGCATGACTAAATGCCGAAGGCGCATGGAGCGCTGTTATCTTCCCACCAAAGGTGGTCCCTATTTTTCTACTTGCATTTTTTACATACTTTCGAACTGTTAGGTTGGCAGAAGCTGGGACAAGTAACAGGAGCTTACCCCATTACCTGGCACTAGGGATTCGACCCACTGAACTGCCGACTTTCGATTGACAAGCTCAGCGTCTTAGCCAGTGAGCCATTGCATCCCTTGTTTCAGAAGCCAAAAGATAACTTCTTTTAATGTTTTGTTGATGTTCTATAAGCACAATAGAGGAATTTATATTGTGGGTGTTTTTCTACTGCTGCCTGAATTGATGGTTTATGCTGTGATCTGTGGCCTGCATTCTTAAAATGATTAGTTGCTGCCCAGCTGCAGAATTATCTTGCCAGAACAATATAAACAGATAGATTGGTCATATAGCATGTGCTTTTTCTGGGGATGTGGGGTGTTTTGGAATGAGAACAATCACATTTGATCAGTTTCCTTCAACAGCCTTTCTTTTTAACCTTTATGCCTTGGAAGAACCCTTGAAGTAATTTTCAAGTCTCAGGAAATCCCTGTATAAAACCTGCAAAAAATAAGAAAACTTCATGATACAATTTATTTCTGACTTACATTATCCACATTTTTACCATATTTACAGCAACAGCAAACTGGCAGGCTGGCAGCTGAAACATGTTTCATAAAAATTCTATCAGTCACAATTTTTTATGAACCCCTAGCAAGCTCTCAAGGAACCCCAGTTGAGAATGGCTGACCTCAGTGGTTTAGCTGTAGAGTATTGTTTTATGAAATCTGGCTCTTCCCAATCTCGGCAACTAACACTTGGTGTTAGTTATCATCTGATGATGAGCTATTTCAGAGACAATGACAAGATGATTTTATATCTTCTTGTTTCGATGGAAATTTGGCAGAGTGCATACACTGAAAGCAATTACAATTCTTGTATATAGAATAAAGTTTATGACTCACAAAAATATTTTGCAATAGTCATAGATAATTGGATGTGTCCCAATATCCAGATTCAACTCAATTTTGGAATTACAGTTGCCTTCAAGCTGGTGTTGATTTTTAGTAACTACATAGACTTTCTTCAGGATGGTCTGTGCCCAACTTGCTCTTCAGATCTTCCACTGATTATCATATTAAAAGTCCAACCACTTTGTGGCTGATCTTTTCTTTTTCCTTTCACCTTTTCGACTATTATAGACTTTTGAAGAGCTGGATATTTGCATAATGTGACCAAGTACGATAATTTCAGCCTGGTTGTTTATACCTTCAGTCAGAACTTTGCATTGACTTAATTGTCTCTTTTGTATGTTAAAATTATCTGCTTTTCCCTTCCTGCTGTCCCCATTCCCACAGCAATTTAACTTAAATGTGATTATATCTTTTTTTAAACAAAAAAGATAACAACTACTGTGTTTCCCCCAAATACGACCTACTCAAAAAGTAAGACCTAGCTTGATTTTTACACATGCGCCCAATATAAGCCCTACCCCCCAAAATAAACCCTAATTAAGATCCTGCCCACTCCAGGGTGCACGGGTAAAAATTAAGCTAGGATGGGAATGTGGGAATGGAGCTGGCCTACTGCTTACCTTTGGATAGTTGCAGCCAGGCCTCGCACACCTTGGCCCATTTCTTTCAAGATTCCAGATTGATCTGGAGCTCTGTTATCGGCTAGAGAGGCCTTTCTTAAAGGCCTTTCCTGAAGGCCTCTCTAGTCGATAACAGAGCTCCGGATCGATCCATTCTGTTATCAATCCGAGCTCTGTTATCGGCTAGAGAGACCTTCAGGAAAGACAGCTGGCTGCAGAAGAAATGGGCCAAGGTGTGCGAGGGTTGGCTGCAACTGTCCGAAGCCGAAAAAAATTCCTGAAGGCCTCTGACAGCAAAAAGGAGGCCAGGGGCGAAGCAGGCAAGTTAGGTGAGTCAATGGATGACATCCCCCCTGAAAATAAGACCTTGTGCCTTTTTTGGTGACAAAAAAATTATAAGACAGTGTCTTATTTTTGGGTACAGTAATAGAAACACGGTAATAGAAACTATGGGGGGCTGCTGTTTCAGTAATTAAAAATGCTGAGCTTGTCAGCTAGAAAGCTGACAGCCTGATTCAAGATCCAAATGCTATGTGATAGGATGAATTCCTTTTACCTGCCCCAGCTCCTGCCCACCCAGCAATTCGAAAGCATACAAATGTGAGTAGATAAATAGGAACCACTACGGTGGCAAATTAATAGCGTTCTTTGCGCCTTGGTATATAGTCATGCTGGCCACATGACCATGGAAATTTCTTTGGACAATGCTGGCTTCTTGGCTAAGGAACAGAGATTAGCCTTGTCCCTTAGAGTTGGACATGACTGGATATGGGAAACCTTTACCTTTAAGTTTTTATCTTAAAACATAAGCTCATGGAGTACTTTAGTAGCATAGTATCTTGGTGTATAGTAAGTTTTATAACATCAGATTAAAAAAAATCAGAACCTTTATTTGCATCTCTATATATTGGCATACAGGAATTGTCAGATGTTTTTTATAATCATGTTAAAGATTAAATTGCATTAATTTCTTATGTGGATTTGAAATTTGAAACTTCTGTATCAGGCAGGCTGGTTTCCAATTTTCTGTATCTAGATATGCAATTTTATAGATGCTGCAAAAAAAATTATCTAGAATTTGGCTAGTGATGAAATATGGAAAGAAGTAAATACATTCCACCATACACTTTGACTTTTTATTACTTATTTCTATTATTTTACCACTTTATTTGCTATAGACAAAGACATGGCACTTGTAGACTAAAAATTAAATTATCTGGGTTATTTGAGTCTAACAATTGGCAATAAAATTCAGGGGCACCAGATGACATCATTTTGGCAATCAATATCCCTGCTTCTTTCTTTTATTATTGATTTGGCCTTCTACAAGGTCAATTAGCCCAAATAGTCAGGAGAAAGGCCAAGACTGCAAAATTCCAGCTATGCAGGTGCAGTATCGATGGGATTGACAATTGTCTGACAGTAGCAGTGACACCAGCCAATAGGATCAAACATGATTCTGAGATTAGACTTTCTAGACTTGAGCATCAATACTTGGGACCATTAACTTCAAGCCTCAATACTGCAATCATCATATGTGCAAATATAAGTTGTAAGTGTCTGAGCCCAATGTGACTTAGAACTGTTGTTAATTGTTGAACTGTTGTTAACTTTGTCGAGGACTATCATAATACAATCCATAGTCTACAGAGATATTCGGATTAGATTTCCAGGCACCTAGAATTTAAGATGTCTGCATAGCATGGCACCTGGACACGATTAAAGCCTGACCATTTCAGATAAATAATTCACTTTTAGCCAAAATTCACTGGGCCTCCTGGACGTTCTAAAATATTTGTCTTGGATGGATTCTCTTGCTTTTTCCTCAGAAGTCTTTCATTTCTTTGTTTTCTATTTATAATTCTGTAGTCATTTTTTTTTACAGTGACTCATCTGGACCTCTATAGCTAGGAATTACTTTTTTGTTGTTGTTGTTGTTCATGACTTTCTTACATATCCTGCCTAATAAAACTATTTTTCTGAAAAAAGGCATATTTTTACTGGATTATAGTAATATAATACAGTATTTTGTCAAATCTTTTTTGTAATCTGCTTTGGGCTTACTGGTTTGCTTTTATAATATAATTCCACTCTATTCCTATTAATAAGAAATATTTTGATATAATCTCAGTAAAATTATAACATAATGGTAGGATTCTAATTAAACACATAACTAAATTATTAACCCATAAAACTTTTCTTGCATTCTTTGAACAATGTCTTCTCTATAATTCAATGTCTGAATTATATAATTGCTGATTTTTTAAAAATTACTTCTTTCTGCCTTTTATTTTCAGGGATAATTCGTTTGAGAGATGGATTTCATGATCGTTACCCTGTGAATGATTACCTAGATCTGTTTGATTTGGCTGCCCATCAGATTCAAAATGTGCTGCAGAGAGATTCTGAAAACAGCTATGAAAAGAGGAGCAACATTATTATTGGTACAGAAACTGTTGCTTAGGATGGCTTTTCTCAATCTGGTGTCATCTAGATGTTTTAGAATCTCACATTTGAAGAATTTAACTTTGAAAAAGGCTGATTTATAGAAATTGTATTCCCGGTACTGGTATTGGTATACCATCATTGGTATGATTTACGGTTTCTGTTGTTAAAAAGGGAAGTCAGACTTTTTAAATATATTTTAGCAATATATATCTGAAATACATACTAGATAACAAAATGTGACGATAGCATTTTATTTCAACAAATTCTGTTAGCGGAGAAAGGAATAGAGGTTTTTTACAACAACCTAGAAGTAGCTTTAAACACCAGTGAAAAGATAAAATATTTCCTCCATTACAAATCTCTAAATTCTTTACTGGGATGCTGTTTAAATATTTGCAATATTTATTTAAAGTAATTATTTATAAACATACAGAATATATATATATTTGAGAAGTAAATGTATTCACTTTCAGTAGACCATTCTCACTAATTATGTTACGATTGCTGCCTTGATTGTCCTTGCAATAATAAAACTTGGTGAAATGTATAATCTATTTAAACTATTCAAATAACATCATAAGATAGCTACCAATAAACATGATAATAAAAAGCATGTATAATTAGAAGTAGTTTGCATAAGTTTTCATATCTGTGTGTCTTCACTTCCCAGTAGATTCTACATGGGCTTTTTTCAGTCTATGCCCTATTCTAATATTCCAGCACAGAATGCTAAGGAAAATGTCTCCTGATTATCTTAATTGAGTCACCTGAATCTATATAAAAGGTTTTACCTCTGTTTCAGCATTGTTGTTTTGAGACTGGCCCTAATTAGTTGCAACTGTGGAGTCAGCATGACAAAAACAAAGTTTAAGCAGACTCTATGTATAGATAGGAAGTAGCAATTAGAAGTCTTTCTAATTTGGAAATTAGAAATGTATTGAAGGAAGAAAGCATCCTTTACTGCAGTGGTCACCAACTGATAGACTGTGGACCACTGGTGGTCCACGAGAAAATTTTGGTAGTCCATAGAAAAATTTTTTATATTGCACTAAATCAGGGGTCCTCAAACTATGGCCCTTTGGCCAGATACATGCAATGAATGTTTTTGTTGCTGCAGAGAGTCTTCCCGTTTGGGGTCTTTTTGTGCAGTTGGAGGGGGCAGAAATTCCGATTTGGGGTCCTGGTGCAGGGCTTTGGGCAAAGGTTGGAGGAAAGTGCCCCTGGTGGCAAAGAGCCAAAGGGCCTTGTTCCAGTGGGACTGCATCATGTCCTGGAACTGGCTGACCATCTCAGCCCACTGAGCCTCCAGGCTTTGCACTCCTGCAGGTTTTCCTTCTGTTTGGAAAGCCTATGCTCGTAGTCCTCAGTGAAGTGCTTCTGCTGAGCCTCCTTCTCAGTCAGATCCAATTTGAACTGAGCCAGATGTTTTGCCAACTCTTTCTCATGGTGGCTGCTTAGCTCCAACAACTGCTTCCTGTTGGATGCCTAAGGAGCCCAGGCAGGCAGGCAAGGAGTGCTGGGAGAAGAGGGGTGACTAGAGGCCGACGAGACACCCCTCGACATGAATGACATCAAGTTGGTCACACCCACCTAGTTACCTGACCATTTAGCCATGCCCACCCAGCCGGTCATTAGGCAGATCACGTTAATGGTCTGCGGGATTTAAAAGTATGAAGTTAGTGGACCCTGAGGTCTGAAAGGTTGGTGACCCCTGCTTTACTGAATGTCTTGTTCCTATGGTATTGGAGACAAAGTCCTGTATTTCTATATAATTTTTGTTACATTTATAGATAGATAAATACATATAGATCTTTGAATGAATTAACATTCTGAGATAGAAAGATGTCTTAAGATACCCTAATGTAAAACAGCATTTAACATGATCTAATACAGGTTTCCCAACCTTGACAACTTTAAGACACATGGACTTCAGCTATGTTGGCTGGGAAATTCTGGGAATTGAAATCCACACATTACCAAGGCTGGGAAACCCTGATATAGTATGTCTTGACTTCCTCACAAAAGCTGTTAAACCTAGCTACACTGATCTGGAATCTTTTGCTTTTATAAACAAACGTTAAAGACTCTTTCTAGGGTTCGCATCTCAAAGACAAGGACAGGCAAAATAATTTGTATTATCATTAGAGATGTCTCTTACATGAATATATTGATTCATATTAATTATTAACATTATTATGAAACAGTTGGACCTGTGCTGCAGTTTTATAGAAATGAGCTTTTCTAAAAATGTTTACTTCAGCTCTTCATCAGCATGCATAGTATCTTAAACTTTTTATTAACTTGTTAAACATAATTTATTTTGTAATATATCCATAGGATATGAAAATCTTAAGGTCACTTAGGGAACAATGTCATTAAACTTTATATAATTAAATCTGTAAACGTTCCTCTAACTTTTAACAGGTAGTGTAATTTTCCATTCAAAAATGCCTCTGAATCAAATGATTGCTGAGTTATAATTATACTGCCGGATGAAACAATGGCTATTGCCTCAGTGCTACACAACACACAAAGCTCCAAGCATTCTAGACAGGATTTAGTAATTTAAGATCATTATAGCAATGAATTCACCAGAATGTTTATAATTTTATATAGACAACCTAGAACTATTCTGTAATAAAAGGAAATAGTTTAATCATATATACTTTTAGCTTCTATGAAAAATTTGTATCATTTTTTACTGTGCAATTGTGACTTGATAGATCAGTGCAGCAGCAATTAATTTATCTTATGTTGAATATGAATTGCTTTTCATCAATATTAATTCAAGTTCATAAAAGGTAAGATTCTAAAACTTGTAGGAAATGTGCTTTTGAGTTGCCATTGCCAAGTTAATACGTTTTGAAGAGCTGATTGTCAAATATAAATTATGACAAAATAAACAATGGAAATCTACATCTCAGCAATTATGGCAATTAAAGGGACACAATAAATGAATACATATGTGCCATCGTATACATCTCATAGCGGACCTGCTATAATCTATATTATGGTAGTGCAAATTCTATAAAAAGATTGGACATGTACAATAGATTGGTAAATTTCATTTCATTCATTCATTCAACCTTAGTTAGCAGAAGTCCTAATCAATATGTCTGGGAAACTTGACATGTCCCAGAATAATATTTTTTGGATAGTGTATCTACTAAGAATTTGAGCTCATAGCAAATAAGTTCATTGGAATTTACAGGAATCATATAAGTAATACATATCAATAATTATACTATTGTTTTTCAGGATGAGCAGTGTTATAGAGTGTAGAAAAAACAAACAGTAATCCATAGAAAATAGAAACTTGAGAGAAGAGAATGAAAACTACCGAATCTAGTTTACAAATATACTTTTTGAAACCTTTCTGTATTTGCCAATCATTCTTTTTCTGCATTCATACATCACTTTATATATTGAGTTTCATTATTTATTTGTATAAATGTTCTTTAAAGTGTAAACATATTTGAACTATACCCAAATGTTGGGACTTATAAAATATAAATTTAACAATATCAAAAGAAAGTAGATTCAATATTTCAGAATGTTTTCTATGTAAAAGAAAATGAAATACATGGCTCATTCACATCAATATACATCATAGATACCAAAGTCTTTATGCTATCTTGTGTATATTTGTAAATATATTTAAGCTCATAGCCTTCATAATTTTTTTTGCTGAACCTGTTGCTTTCTACATGTTGAATTTTAGTACCAGTTAGTTCTATTCAGTTTCTGTGATAGAAATCGATGTACAACAAACACATGGATAATGGCAGATTTGAGAAATATGAATTATAGCAAATTCTGTTTATATCTCTAAAATTAAGGATAACCATCTATGGATTTTGTCATTTCTAGGAGAGGCAAGTGCTTCAACAATGTGGGACAACAATGCTTGGATTTTCTTTTATGACAACAGTACAGAGGGGGAACCTCCATTCTTAATACCAGATTTTATTCATGCCTTCCAGCCAAATGCAAAGCTTATTGTTATGCTTAGAGATCCTGTTGAAAGGTGAGCATCCAATATTTCCAAGATTTCAAATGTGCATCACATCTGCAATACATGGAAAAGAAGTGGTCGAACTTCATGCTGTATTTGTAGCAGCCATCTGACTTTTTCAAACTCTTGTCTAAAAACGTCCCTGCACTTGAACGAAGAAGATGGTATTAGCTATTGCTTCATACTAATATTACTTATGTTAGGCATCTGTATTACTTTTTCTAGATCTCTTTTAAAGTTGGAAGTGGCATATTTGATATAATTCTTCATTTACTATCATTCTGGCTACGAGTTGTCTTTCCAGTTGTAAATCATAATGTGTAAACTTTCCGATATTCTAAATTGCCATATGGGAGCACATTAATAAATAAGCAACTTGTTCAACTTCTGTATGGTTTACCTCTTTGTTACAACATCTGAAAAAAAAATGCTATTAGAAATAACAAGTAGTTCAGAATATTAAATTTATTTTAATGAAAGCTGTCACAATAAAATTCCAACATGCAATGATTTCATTTTTAAAGTTTATAGTCATTGCTTTAAAATTAATTATTTTAAATAACATTTGTGTAAATGTTATTTTAGTGATTCCTGGGTAGACAAATAGTCTGCACATATATTTCTTAGTGTAATAGTTTGCATCCAACTTTTTGTATATGAAAAATAAATGTTAATGCCAATCTAAAATTGAGGAACAGGCTCAGGCTCAACCCATCCAAGACCGAGTGGCTGTGGTTTCCGACGTCCCGATATAGTCAGCTAGTGCCATCGCTGACTATTGGGGGCGAATCATTGGCCCCCATGGATAGGGCCCGCAACCTGGGTGTCCTCCTGGATTCACGGCTGTCGTTAGAAGAGCATGTGACGGCCGTGTCCGGGAGGATTTTTCATCAGGTTCGCCTGATCCGCCAGTTGCGTCCCTATCTAGATCGGGACTCCCTACACACAGTCACTCATGTCCTCGTTACTTCTCGTCTGGACTACTGCAACGCTCTCTACATGGGGCTCCCCTTGAGGTGCACTCGGAGGCTCCAACTGGCGCAGAGTGCGGCCGCGCGGGTGGTGATGGGAGCGACATGGAGTTCCCATGTGACACCTCTCCTGCGCGAGCTGCACTGGCTCCCGGTGGTCTTCCGAGTGCGCTTCAAGGTTCTGGTTATCACCTTTAAAGCGCTCCATGGCTTAGGACCTGGTTATTTATGGGACCGCCTGCTACCACCAATAGCCTCCCACCGGCCAGTATGCTCCCATAGAGAGGGGTTCCTCCGGGTGCCGTCGGCCAAACAATGTCGGCTGTCAGCCCCTAGGGGGAGAGCCTTCTCTGTGGGGGCACCTACGATTTGGAACGAGCTCCCCCCGGAGATACGTAGGATCCCGGATCTGCGCACCTTCCGCCGCGCGCTTAAGACTTTTCTATTTTATCAAGCTGGCCTGGCCTAAATCTTCCCCCTTTTTAAATGTGGAAATTTTAAATTTTTAAATTTTAAATTCGTCTTATTTATAGGGGTATGGGTAAGGCGTTTTAAATTGGGGAGCCATTTTAGATTTAATTCTGTTTTAAACGTATTTTAATTGTTTATATTGTATGTTTTTTAATTTTGGCTGTTCACCGCCCCGAGTCCTTCGGGAGAGGGGGCGGTATAAAAATCAAATAAATAAATAAATAAATAAATAAATAAATAAATAAATAAATAAATAAATAAGAAATAGGATCAGGGATGGGTTCTACTTACCTTTACTACCGGTTCGCAATGGGGCTGTGCACCGTTTTATGATTCAGTGAAGTATATAATATGAACATGTTTATTCAGTCACTGGAGGAAACATAGCTTTTTAAATTCTCTCCAAAATTATCTAGCTATGGAGAATCAAAGAAAGTTATAAATGAAGGTAATATTAAATGGGTCATCACTAGGTTAACAGAAGTTGGAGCTCCAAGAAAACTCTGCACAGTTTCATTGTAGACAAAGCAATTTAGAATCAAGAACTGGGCACTTGGAGTATTATATAGATCAGGGGTCCCCAGCCCACTGGGCTGTGTCCTACTATTGGCTGTGTCCTATTCAGAATTGGGCTGCACAAGTGGGTGGCTGGAGCACGTGCAGTTCAACTTGCATAAGTGGCAGGCTACCAAGCACTCGCGCAGGTGTGCACCGCCTGCTGCTTGTGCAAGTTGAGCTGCATGTGCACTGGTCCGTAGCTCACATGGCCCGGTTCCCCTCTCCCCACACAACCAGGCTGCCAAGCTGCAAAGGTTGGGACCACTGATATATGTCAGGATGGGGTAGAGGGTTGTCCCCGAACCGTGAACCAGCTCACGAGTAAACACACTAGGACTGAAATAAAATTAGCAGAGGAGTCTTGTATAAAAATATACTTTACTTCAAAAAGGCACATTAATAACAAAATCTTATCTTGGTTAAATGAAGCCAGGCCATCTCCCTAAATTCCTCTCCACAATACCGAAACAGTCCATGAGAAAAAAACTAACATGACATTAAACAGCTTCGGTATCGATACATCATCGAGGTGGTAGAAGGGCAGCAGCTTAGGTCACCTGTGAAAAACAATTCAATCAGCAAACGTGGCTTGAAGCTCCTGGGAGGGAAACTGTCCAGCACTCCCTCCGATCGTAGCTCCAGCAGCAGCAACAGTTCAGATGTTGGCTTGCGTGCTTCAACTCAGCAAAAGGCAAGCTGAAATTGGAGATTTCAAAAGGTTCTCAGCTATCTCAACTCACAGTTGCAGCTAGCTCCGTGGGAGTATCTTTACACAGCTCGGCTCCTCTTCTGTTGCTATCTCTGCTGCAGCCATCAGAACTCCTTATCTGAGTTCTCCTCCCTTCTGCAGCTCTGCTCAGGGCTCTGCGTCCAGGTGCTTCAGCACTGGCTCTGCATCTAGGCTTAAACAGCGTCTAGGCCCAAGTAGCAAGCAGAAAGGTCCGTGCTTATATGGGGAGTTAACCTGCAATTAACTAGGGCGGGGAAGCTTTCAGTTAATTGCAAACAGGAGATGGCTTGATTGGATCCATACTGTTTGTAACTGATCAAGTAGCTACAGCAATCCTGAAAACACTCGTGACAATATAGATCTTTAAAAAAGAATGATAAGATAAAAGATGAAGTGGAACAACTAAAATTATTACACAGCAGCAATATAATGATTAACTTTCAAAGACCATTTTATTCATCTGCCATAAAAAACTGGAATAGGAATACATTTGGAATGACTATTATGGTCATTCTAATATTGATATTATAATATCAAATCCATATTAAGGATTTGATTTGATGTTTTGAAAATAAATTCCACTATGGGCGAATTACAGTAGCTTGACAGTTTGTGTTAGTTTTGTCTAAAATAAGGATTACCTGATACTCTCAAACAGCAAGTAAATCAGAAAGAAACTCTTTCCTTAGGATATCTGAGGATATATTGCAAACGAAGTTCTACTGCAAAAAACAAAATTTATGATATAAATAATATCATTTGTTTCTTTCCTGGACACCAGCTGTTGATTTATTATTTCTACTAAGTAGATGGCATGGTTTCTAATTACAGTTCAATTGTTTATGTTTTTTTTCCATTCATAGATTATATTCTGATTATCTCTACTTTGCAAGTGCTAATAAATCTGTAGAAGACTTCCATGAAAAAGTGGCTGAGTCATTACAACTCTTTGAGAATTGCTTGACAGATTTCTCTTTGCGAGCCTGTGTATACAACAACACCCTTAATAATGCCATGCCAGTATGTATATTTCATTTTAGATTTTATATACTACTCTGAAGCCAAGTATTACCAGTTTCAGAATATATAAGAACCAAGTACTTTATAAAATCCAGTAACTGAAATTGCATATGATTGTTCTTAAATAAAAATAACTGCCCAAGGGCAGCTAGGCTAGAGATCTTTTCTCCAACATCTGGTTGTTGAGAGTAGTTTCTAAGGATACACGTTTTGCAAGAACGAAATGTTGATTTAATTTGAGCATTATTAATTTCTTTTCCCTTTTTAAGTCCCCTCAAGAAGTTGGACATAAAAAAAATGACACTAATTAGAGTGAGAGGGAAGATCCTTGGAAGCTCATCTAAGATAGAAATAAAATCATCTGTTCTATGTCAGTTTGTGCTGTAAATAATTTTAATCTTTTTTTTGTATAGCTTAATTAATTAAACAAATGATTTTTTTTAAAATTATATAACATGAATTCATGTCTTTTCTGTTTTTATTCCCATTCCCCAAACTGACCCTTTTCCACATCCACCTGCCAGTTTATCCTCTGCTAACCACATCCTAATCAACCATTTCATTTCCCCTTGCATCTCCCACTCAGAATCTTCCTACTATGTGAATATAATTGTATCTGGAATAATTTACTACAGCTCTTTCCTCCCTCTCTCCCCCCACTTCTCTCTCAGGTAAGACTTCAGGTTGGTCTGTATGTTGTTTTCCTCCTTGACTGGCTGGCGGTTTTCAATAAAGATCAAATATTAGTTCTCCGGTTGGAGGATCATGCATCCAATGTAAAATTAACTATGCACATAGTGTTCCAGTTTCTTGATTTAGGTATGAATTTTAATTAAGCATATCCATCATTGATATATTGTGATTGTCTTGTATTTTCTAAGGCTTCCTTTCCTCTATGCTATCTGTCTTCAGCACAGCTGTAGATAGAGTTAGCACCAAATACATTCATTTTGGGAAGATATTGGAAGCTGTCATATTTCTACAGCTCAAAGCTTAAATATAATATTTTAATTAGTTCATTTTCTAGCTACTACTCTATTCAATTCATGCATTCTGACTCTTATTTTGAACTGAGCAGCGTTATCAGCTTTACTTTAACTTAGTCTTTAAATTTCCTTGAATTTTATATATACACTAATTTTTATTTCAATATAAATCATTTCCAATAACTTTCAGATATATTTTTCTTTGAAAGAAAAATTTGTAGGTAGATTTAAGCGAACTAGATATAAAACAGAGGCAATGTCTAAATAAAAATGGTCTTCTGTGACTCAACCCTTTGTGGATGGGAACAATATGAGTTTTTCTCATAAAAGTTCATTTTGAGCCATGGTGGTGCAGTATTGCAGGCTAACTCTGCTGACTGCCAGCTGATTGCCAGCAGTTGAACCTTCCATCCTTCTGAGGTTGGTAAAATGAGGACCCAGATTGTTGGGGGCAATATGCTGACTCTGTAAACCTCTTAGAGAGAGCTGTAAAACACTGTGAAGCAGTATTACAAAAAAATTGTAAGTCTTTGAGGACAGAATGCATGAATAATCCTGAGCCACTGAATTGTAATGTATAATGTTACAGATTGAAAGAAACATGTTAACTTGCCAAGCGCAAAAGATCAGATCCACATGTAAAGGTCCATGTTAAGCTGATTTATTGCTGATCATGCCTCTGCACAGGAATCTTCTCAATTAATGGTTAACATCTGCTTGGGGTTAGATAAGGGTCAATGGAATCTAAAGGGAGTTTGCTTAGGGCTATGTAGGGGTTCTAGGCTGATCCTTTTTTTAACTCCATCCCCATTCCTTCTCTTACAAAATTGTATTTAAGTCATTTTAATTACATTTAACTTGGCTCATTTCTTTATCCTGGCCTCAGCCCTTTTTAGAGTGTAGCCTTTGCCATATCACTTATGCCTGCCTATATTTAACATCAACTATCTTTTTACATAATTTAAAGAGAAAAGTTACACCAAACAATACAAAAAAAGCAAATGTCATTTACTGTTTCTCATTAAGCCACCACGTGTAACATTCAAAAACTTACCTGTTTATTGAATGTTGTATAACTTGGAAAATGCTTAAGAAAATGAATAAGCAAAAGTAGACATGATTATATAAATATTTTTTATCATAGGTGGTCTAAGCGAAAAACAAGAAGCTCTAATTACTAAAAGTCCTGCATCAAACACTAGAAGACCTGAAGATCGGAATCTAGGTCCTATGTTGCCTATCACAAAAGAAATTCTGTGTGATTTCTATCAGCCTTTCAACAAAAAACTTGCTGAAGTTCTTTCTGATGAAGCTTTTTTATGGAAAAAGTCCTGATTTGACCATTTCAGAGCCACCACTGCAGTGCTTGGAGAGAAAAAGATATATTTTTAAAAATTTTGTTTTTCAGATGTAAATAATTGCCATTGTGAAGTCAGTAAATCTGCATTTTCATGTTTCTCTCACTTGCTATTATGAAAAATTCTTTTCCACACTGGAGCCCTTCAAGTGTGTTAGGGCTATGATACGCAGAACTTTCGTCAGCATGGGAACTCCCTATTAAGGAATGCTGGAATATGGAAGTGGATTTCCAAAGAGGAATATAATGATTTTTGCCATTTTTTCTCAACAAAAGAGCAGTGTACAGATAAGTTTGGTTGAAGCAATCTTAAGTCTTCTTTAAAATAACTGTAATATAATACAGAAATTAGCACTAGGTACCTAAAATGCACATTTGTTTTCACTTTTAAGTATATCTTGCAATATTTGGGAACTGTTTAAAATGGCTTTTTAACCATTAAAAGTTGATTAATTTTAACCTAGTGGTTTGATTTTTACTCTCTGACACACAATATTTACTTTAAATGACGATGACTTCAAAATTAAAGAACTCCTCCCCAAGAATATTAGACAACAATAAAAACAATAATAACTAAATTGCCTTCATTACAATGTTCCCATGGTATCTAGGACAACCATCTCATTTCATAGGCAAAATATTAGAAATAAATTGTAAATTTATAAATAAATACAGTATTTATTATATACAGTATGTATTTATTATAAATAAATACAGTGTTCCTCAGCAGGCTGACTGTGCACCCACACTAAGCCCATGAAATCTACTGGAAGCAGTTAACTGGAAATATAATGAAGCAACTTGTTTAATGGAACATTTTATTTAAGTGGGCTCCAGTAATAGTAATATTACTATTAGCAGCATAAGTCGTTTTCTGAAGAATGTCTATTTTCAATGATTAAATGAAATAGTTTTGATGTGAATTTACACAAAATCAAACCCAAAAGGACCCAGTTGTGGGGGCAATAAGCTGACTTTGTATAAAATATACAAAAGGATGAAAGCTATTATATACAAAAGGATGAAGGTTATTGCTGAGCACATTGTAAGCCGCCCTGAGTCTTCGGAGAAGGGCGGCATATAAATCAAAAAAGAAAAAAGAAAAAAAAAAGAAAAGAAAGAAAACATTGCCAGAACAGATCAATTTAAAGTAGGGGTGAAATCCAACAGGTTCTAACAGGTTCTGGAGAACCGGTAGCGGAAATTTTGAGCAGTTCGGAGAACCGGTAGCAGAAATTTTGAGTAGTTCGGAGAACTGGCAAATACCACCTCTGGCTGGCCCCAGAGTGGGGTGGGAATGGAGATTTTGCAATATCCTTTCCCCAGCAGTGGGACGGGAATGGAGATTTTGCAGTATCCTTCCCCTGCTATGTCCACCAAGCCACACCATGCCCACCAAGCCACGCCCACAGAACCGGTAGTAAAAAAATGTGGATTTTCATCACTGATTTAAAGCAAAATAGAATAAAAATATGTGAGTGTTTGTGTGGGGGAAGTGATAAAATGATGTCTATCAGTTGCTTTACTTAAGTGTTATTTCACTTTGTATTCAACATGGTATAAATCCAAAACCTACGGAAAAAAGTGGGAGTTTATTTTGAAAAGCCTTCAATTTTGTCTCTGAGGAAATAGCTAAAATAATTAAAAATACAAACAGAATTAAATGTAGCAAGCCAAATTTTACCTGGTTAAGAAATATTGACTAAATTAATTTTATGTTTGGGCCAAGAAGAGCTTTGCTTGATTGACTTTTGATCAGTTTAATTATTTGAAATCCTTTCCCCTTGCAATAGGAAAGCACAATAATAGTAATAAAATAGAGAAAGAAGCAAAAAAATAACTGAGTCTGGTAATTTAAATATATTGATTTATATTGATGTTAGGGTATCTCCATTATATAGAAGGTGGAAGAGGCCCACAATATTTTTATAATATTGTGAAGAATCACATTATTTTTAATGTGTTTTATTACCTTTTTATTTTTTCTTACTCCAGTAGAATATAAATAGAAGAAATGTCATTAGGCCCGTGTCCATCATTTTATCCAATAGTAGAGTTATTCTCCAAAACTTGAATAGAGTGGAACCAAAGTTGATGTGACAGGAAAAACTTTAAAAGAAAAATCAGGATTGAAAATGGAGTCTCAGATGGCTTGGGATCCAAGAGAACACTGTTTGTGTGGCAATTATTTATTTATTCAGTTTATACAAAGCATCTAGTATAATCTTGGTGTTTTATTATTCCTTGATCTTCACACAACCACTAAATCAAGAGAGAATAGTACAGAAATTATCTTCCTCAGCTAAACACAATTTTCTTTCCTTCTGGTATCCTTTGTTCTATTCCCCTTTTCTGACCCTTTTTAGTTATCTTTTCCACTTTCAAGTCTAGTAGTTCAAATATATATGTAACAATATAGACAGCTTGGGGTGAATCTCATGGGAGCTGATTAGAACATTTCTCTGCTATAAACAGTTCTGAGATGCAAAGAGTTCCTTGTTTGATTCAGGACATAGAGAAATCAGCTGAAAGCAGCTGATCTGGGCCTTGCTGTACAGTTACTTAAATGAGACATGAAAATCTTGACAAATTGCCCAGTCTGAGAAAATCTAGGGGGAAAAACAAATCTCTGAAAAAGAGCATAAACCTAAAGGACAGTGTGGACCATGAAATTACTAGAATAGAGAAGGGAACAATACTATCCTTTGTATCTATCTCACCCGAAGTAAGTTCATTTCACTTTTTTCAATTGCCATTTCTTTCCAGCCTGTTCGACCCTATCCTTGGTATTTGTAGCCTGTTTTTTGTAGGTCTTGGAAGCTCTGGCTGATGATTACACTATTTGATTTATAGTTAGGCTCTGTATTTTCATTTTAGCTTGAACTTTGATTTGAATTTGTGCTCTGCTACTAATTGCCTGCTACAAATACCCTGATCAAGGCTGCAGTTCCAAGGAAAAATATCTTACTGCCATTTCAGTGAACAGATTATAAAGAAAAGGTAGACTCATGCTGATGAGCTGGAGACCTGTTATTACAATCTCCTGAATGTGGCATACCATAATAGCAGCATATATCCACTTCATTGTTGTCTCTTTCTGTTCTACTGGTATAAAATTTCTTGATATCTATTTCTTTTTTCTGGTGTAGCATATGAGAGCAAACAGTATTTCTGTCTCTTACCCTGTTTCCCCGAAAATAAGATCCAACCGGAAAATAAGTCCTAGCATGACTTTTCAGGATGCCTGTAATATAAGCCCTACCCCCAAAAGAAGCCCCAGTTAAGATTGTCAGCCAGATGGGTTCATTTAGTACTGTATTTCCCCAAAAATAAGACTTAACCAGAAAATAAACCCTAATGTGTCTTGTGGAGCAAAAATTAATATAAGACTCGGTCTTATTTTTGAGGAAACATGGTACATATGTCAATTTATCCTTTTGATTTGCTGATAAGAATTATCCATCCTCTACCATTTTAACTATATCAGGTACATAGTTCTGAGTGCTCGTTACGTTCTTTGTTTGAGTTGTTGCTTTGCTGGAATCAAAAGACTGAAACAAAGCCTGATTTCTGATTTCAGTACCAGTAGCCCTTGACTTTCGACCACAATTGAGCCCAAAATTTCTGTTGCTAGGTGAGACTGTTGCCCCATTTTACTGTGACCTTACTCGCCACAGTTGTTAAGTGAATCACTGAAGTTGTTAAAGTTGATAACATGGTTGTTAAGTGAATCTGGATTCCCCATTGGCTTTGATTGTAAGAAGGTTACAAATGGTGTTCATATGATCCCGGGACTCTGCAACTGTCATAAATACGAGTAAGTTCCCAAGCATCTGAATTTTGATCACATGATCATGGGGATGCTGCAACAGTCATAACGGTGAAAAACGGTCATTTGTCACTTTTTTCAGTGCCATTGTAACTTCGAATGGTCACTAAACAAACATTTCTAACTTGAGGACTACCTGAAAAATGATTTCCCTCCCCTTTTGGTCAATTTGGGAGTAGTTGTTCTGCTTTCCATATAGCAATATGAGTTGCTAGGCAAATTTTTTCCAGTATGAGTACACTGCCATTATTATTAGACTGATAAAACCAAATCCAATTACACATGATGATACAACTTAAGCATACTGTTCTAACTGAACCAATTTTATCACATAACATTTGCTCACTGATTTCTGGGCTCTAAAAACACAGGAGGCCCCAAAGAGAGACGTTACTGGTTGTAGCTTGGAATAAAAGGGATTTTCTTTGGGGAAGTTATTTTATTAAAATATTGCTCTGCTTAATAATTGATTGAGGAGGTGGCAATGTAGCATATCTGCTAGTATTTTAGTACATTTAAATGGAACACAGTAAAGAGGTCTTTTCTTGAGCTGTTTTTTTGCAGAATACATATTTAGTTCTCAGTGCAATGGAGAATGTATCAAAGTAAAAAGGATGCCCAGTTATACCAGGTCTTTCTGCAACAATTCATACTGCCAAAATATTCACAAATTCCACATATGTCAACAGCAAGGCAACTGAGAACATGTGAATACTTAAACATATGTATGCATGTGTACAAACTCACACTCAGCAGAATCCTCTATATTAGGAGTCAAATTTGTGTTGCCTTGGTGTTGTCACATGACGTATCGTGACTTTCCCCCCTTCACTAAACCAGGCGTGGGCATGGCCATGGCCATGGCCAGCATGTGATGCATCTGGCCCACAGGCGTGGGTTTGACACCCCTGCTCTACAGTCACTCATGCGCTCGTGACCTCCCTGATAGACTACTGCAATGCTCTCTACATGGGGCTGCCCGTGAAGACCACTCGGAGGCTTCAGCTGGTGCAGAATGCGGCCGCGCGGGTAGTGATGGGAGTGTCCCGACACTCTCATGTTACACCCTTCCTGCGCGACCTGCATTGGCTACCGGTTGCCCTCTGGGTGAGATTCAAGGTGCTGGTTATCACCAATAAAGCACTACATGGCTTAGGCCCAGGGTACCTGACAGACCATCTGCGGCCAGCAACAGCTCCCCATCGCCCAGTGCGTTCCCACAGAGAGGGCTTCCTTGGACTGCTGTCGGCCAGGCAGTGTTGTCTGGCGACTCCTAGGGAATGAGCCTTCTCTGTGGGCGCACCTATCTTATGGAATCAACTCCCCCTGGACCTCCGGGTGGCCCCTGACCTGCGCTCTTTCCGCCGTGACCTTAAGACATGGTTATTTCATCAGGCTGGTTTGGACTGAAGGGGTTTTTAAGGGGAGTTTTAATGGTTTTTAACATCTAATATTGATTTGTCTATTTTATTGCTGTGAGCCGCCCTGAGTCCTTTTCGGAGAGAGGGCGGCATATTAGCTTAATAAATAAATAAATAAATAATAAATATGCTTTTCTTAAACATGTATTTTACTTAAATGACTAAATTCTGCTTATTTTATTCCCAGAAATAATGATAAAGCCCATGTT